GAATTTATTAATCCCAGAGGGAAATTGAGTTGTCATAGCAGCAAATATGCAACAAACATCTAGCACTCATATAAAATGAAGTGTAGAGATTGAGATATTTTTAGATAAATATTAAGATAAATATAGAGGTATCAGTATAAATAAATATATATACATTTAAAAGGGACACACATATGTGTGTGTGTGTTTGTAACACGCCCCTAGTGAGAGGGCAGCCAACAGATTATATCTGGTCCTGAAAAAAACAGGTAAATGATGAGATGGACGACAGGTAGTTTGTTTTCCTCTCTCGCTTCTGTCAGATCTTTAATTATACACATTCATGTGTTCAAAATCGGTTACAAATCGTCTGAAGCTCTTTATCTCACATTCCCAAAATCAGAATAAACTTAATGATAATATAAATAATATAAACAAAAATCTAAACAGCCATATTGCTTGTTTGTTACTCAGAGCTACAAATCCCACTCTTTTTACCCACACATAGTTTAATAAAACAAACATTCCTGCACTGTACCATATACTAGTGCCTTATCTGTGTAGTCAAAATCTCCACATCAACATTGCAGAGTGACCAGAGTTGTTATTTCTCTAACTTTAGTCAGTTACAGTGGCAGCACATCAAACTGTCTCTGTGAATTCACTAACTCAAATATACGGGAGCGGTGTTGTACTTTTGAGGGAGACTTAAGTTTAAAAAAAGACAAAGCCGAAGGCTACACGCAACTCCAGCATGCGCGAGCTAAGCTAGCTCCTCCTGTCTTAACCGTAACAGATTTCAAAGACCAAGACAAATACAGATCCCACCGAGACAAACTAATCGTCAGGTTTTACTTTTACTTGGCATGTTAATTACGTGGACCATATTCAATTTTTCAGTTCAATTAAATTTTATTTATATAGCGCCAAATCACAAGTGCAGTCGTCTCAAGGTGCTTAATATTGTACAGTAGATCGTACAATAATAGATACAGAGAAAAGCCCAACAATCATATGACCCCCTATGAGCAAGCACTTTGGCGACAGTGGGAAGGAAAAACTCCCTTTTAACAGGAAGAAACCTCAGACAGAACCAGGCTCAGGGAGGGGCGGGGCCATCTGCTGCAACCGGTTGGGGTGAGAGAAGGAAGACAGGATAAAGACATGCTGTGGAAGAGAGACAGAGATTAATAACAGATATGATTCAATGCAGAGAGGTCTATTAACACATAGTGAGTGAGAAAGGTGACTGGAAAGGAAAAACTCAATGCATCATGGGAATCCCCCGGCAGCCTAGCAGTCTATTGCAGCATAACTAAGGGAGGATTCAGGGTCACCTGGTCCAGCCCTAACTATATGCTTTAGAAAAGGAAAGTTTGAAGCCTAATCTTAAAAGTAGAGATAGTGTCTGTCTCCCGAATCCAAACTGGAAGCTGGTTCCACAGAAGAGGGACCTGAAAACTGAAGGCTCTCCCTCCCATTCTACTTTTAAATACTCTAGGAACAACAAGTAGGCCTGCAGTGTGAGAGCGGAGTGCTCTAATGGGGTGAAATGGTACTACAAGGTATTTAAAATAAGATGGGGCCTGATTATTTAGGACCTTGTATGTGAGGAGCAGGATTTTGAATTTAATTCTGGATTTAACAGGAAGCCAATGAAGGGAAGCCAAAACAGGAGAAATATTCTCTCTCTTTCTAGTCCCTGTCAGGACTCTTGCTGCAGCATTTGGATTAACTGAAGGCTTGTCAGGGAGTTTTTAGGACAATAAGGCCACAGTAAGGAATAAGGTCCACATGTGGCCTTATTACTTACTAAACTGAATAAAATAATTAAATGATGAGACAGCCTCTGCTAGATCTGATGAAGAGCAGTAGCATTACACTAAACCATCTCACTAGGGCGGAGGTGCCCCCTTGTGGCGCAACTTGGGATCTCAGAACATGTTGGCTCTCCAACAAAAATCACAAAATTAAGGCCCTTGTGTAACAAAACTACACCTGAAAACAATGTACAAAAATTAAATCACATAATATGGCCACACATTATAGTGTTCCTTGTGCAAATATATGTCATGGAAGAATGAAGCTATGTTGTGAAAGATCAGATATATTTCACAAGTATAACCAGTTTAGTTATGCTGTGACAAAGTCGGTGGAACACAAAACCAGTTTGTCATAACTGATCACATTTCTTCTGAAAGTCTAGCAGCCCACAGTCATGGGGGAAAAATGTTTAACCCCTTAGCAGTCCTATTAGTCCCCTAAACCATCCAATGTCCCGTGGGCGGTACGTCCGACTGCTAACAGTTTAATAAATTGATCATTATCAAGCTGTGGGTATTAATCTGCTTATATTTGCCATTCGATGGGAGAGAGCAGCTCAGTGTGGTTTGTGGCAAAAACCTCTGAGGACACAAATACTGTGAGACCCTACTGTGCTGCTTATGAACTAAAGGGTAAAACTTTTACTACAGATATTTTTACTAAGTTTCGTCAGGGTGGCCTATATAAAGAAATGTCTCTATATCTGAGCATTTATAACAGTTTCCTCTAACAGTTGTTTCTGCAAAGACTGATGAGCATGTGAGGTTGCAGAGATTGCGTCACAAAAGCTCAGTTGCTGCTTACATTTTGGGAACTATTTTTTTTTTCAACATGTTGATACTGGTATAAACAAAATGTAGTCACTTCCCCAGAGACATCTTCTGTCAAGTAGCCTCAAAGAAACACTGCTACGAGGGCCTGGAAATGCCATAAAAAAAACCCTGAACATTAAGAAAACAAACTCAATAATATTAATGGTAGAAAAAAAAACATGTGATTGTGAATGAAATTTGTGAAGTAATTAATTAAAGAAATGTTGTGCACATTAATATATCTGCCTGAGAGTGATTTTGTCATGTTTGTCTTTGTAATTTGTTTGTTTAATGAATTTGTTGATTTTCCCATTTCAGTTCAACCCATATTCTGTTACATTTCTAACATTATATGATGCAAATGAGGCGACTGCTACTCAAAGTGTGGTATTAAGTGAACTTTGTGGCTACATCTAGTTAAGAGACCATTAGAGAAGTGAGGCTACAGCCTCATGGCCTTTCTTACATATAGTTTTATCTGCTGCATTAGTGTGGAGTTATTACCATCATCTCACATCTAAAAAGGCAAGATAATGTCCACTATCTCCACAGTTGGCAACAAGAGAATAATTTTGTTTCTGTTTTAGTCGGCGGCATCCTGAGAAATCCATAAGTCTGCACATGCAGCTAACAGTGGCGATGTTCTGCCTCCATCTCACCTTCCTGCTGTCCAGCCTCCTGGCCCAACTACTGAAGGAAAAAGAGGACGGCTCATCTTGCCTGGTACTGGGTCTGGTTTTACACTGGTCCCTTCTGGCCACCATGACCTGGAGTGCTCTGGAGGGGTTCCACCTCTACCTTCTGCTCATCCGGGTCTTTAACATCTATGTGAGGAGGTACCTGCTCAAACTCAGCCTGATTGGATGGGGTGAGTGTCGTTTAGGTGGGACGCTGCTCTGCAATACACTGTCACAAATCTTTAAATGAAAGTGGATTGTGTTGAAGTGTTGCAGCAGCATTGAGAAGTAGAGAAACAGTGATAATAATGCCTCACGCTGTCCTAAAGAACATTCAGCTGACATTAATTCTGTCTTCCATGTTTTCAGGTTTTCCTACACTGGTTGCAGCTGTTTGTGGGATTTCACGTGTTTATGGCAAATACACTCTGAAATACAGCAACAGCAATTTAACACAACACATGTAAGAAACTATCTTTGATATCACTTAATATTAGAGTGAGCCAGGAGATTTTATTTCTAAGCAAACCCATTTTTTATGTCTTTATTAATGAGCAGGTGCTGGATAAGCGGCAAGTCTGAACAAAAGCTCCTCATAGTCAGCTACATCACTACCGTGGCCTTTCCTTTCTTCGTGGTTGTGTTCAATGCCTGCATGCTGGGGCTGGTGGTGTTTAAGATTTGGGAACTAAGAAGGGGTGATAGAAGCTTTGGAAGCAGCAGTGACTGGAAGAAGATAAACAAAGAGAGAAAGAAGAGGTTATGGAAGGACTGTGTCACAGTGCTGGGCCTCAGCTGTGTCCTTGGGTTACCTTGGGGGTTAGCCAGCACTACATACGTTTCACTCGCTGGGATCTACATATTCACCGTATTGAACTCCCTTCAAGGTTAGTATGTGATCATCATGTCAAGGATTAACTGGACTTTGATCATTTAATAGAAGAACTGACAAACTATGTCTCTCTCTTCACAGGTCTATTTATTTTCCTGTGGTCTGTGGCGATGGCCTGGTCAAAATCTCAACCTGAAAATAACTCCTCAATCAGAGAGTCTTCCTCTCAGAAAATGATGACTACTAGTTTCAACAGCAGAAACTGAAAAGACTAATGCATTATCCATGACCTATATTAGGTGTTTGGCTTCTATTGATATATATTTCAGTATAACTAACAATTAAAAATATATACACATTTAGATGTGTTATTTCTTCCTTTTTGTGCAAATACTATGTAGAAATTTTGAAGAAAATTCTTGTGATTTTCTGTTTCCTCTTTCAAGCAAATATCAATAACTTGACTGTAATGAGTGGCTCTTTGAGTTGACTTCCTATCAGTTGGAAGCAGTGCAGTTATTCTACTCTGACCTCTGGCAACAACAAGGCATTTTCTTCCAGAGAACTGATGCTCTCTGGATATTTTTTCCAGCTTATTCTCTGGAAACTGCAGAGAACTTAGTGTTGGAAAATGCCAGTAGATCACCAGTTTCTGGCACCAATGAGCACACCATGCTCACACCTCCATTCTGTTTCACAATTTAATCATGAGAACATCATCTTCACTATTCCTTCATGCCAATATGCATTGAGTTTGTTTGTGTGTTTTGCTTTTTAGATATTTGCGTTAATGACCTGTTGAACTAGTGTACCTAACAAAGTGACTAGTGAGTGTAGTATTTTTTTTTACTGTTTTTAGAGATTCCGTGCAAATAAGAGACAATAAAAATGACATTTTGAAGACACAAATAACATTTCCATGTATTACATTGTATACTAGATGACCTAATAGTGTGGTCAGGGAGTGTATGTTGTTTGTGATTCCACAGAGACTCTGACAGGCTAACACTAGCAAGACTTGGACAACTCACAACCTAACAGGATAAGCATGACATTGCTAAAGCATCACCCTTTGAGGTCCTTCTGATAAATTGCTCCTAATGCTATACCTACTTATAACTAGTTATTATTTATAGCAACGTTCAGGTTAAAGAAAAAATGAACTACAGTACTCTCTGAATGATCGATATTCATTAAGAGTATTTTAAAATACCTTCTTTCTTAATCTTGCCAATTCTTCCCTGATATTGATAAAGTAAATCTTTAAAATGTTGACAAATTTTGAAAATTTTTGACAACGATTTTCTTATAAAATAGTATTTACTTTATTTACTGTTACAGTTATGTGTTAGGTTTTCCACAGCTTAACATTTACTTTACAGCAGTCTTCAAAAGGAGAACAGAGCGGAAGAACTTCTAAAATGCAGTACTTGGTAAGAGACAAGGCTGTTAATAATCATCTCCAACATCATGACCTGACATTAGAAGTTTAAACAGGTGGCAGGTGGCACCAGGTGGCAGCAATACCACAGGAGACACTCTTCCTCTTTTTTATGCATTACTCTTATGAATTGCTCATGCATTTCATGCATGTCTCCGTGCTCTGCTTTTTACCTGGATGGCCCCTGATGCACTTCTGTCTCCTCCTGATAAAGGTGTTTATCACCCACCCCTAGCTCATGAAACTGCCTGGTGTAGCGCAACATCACTGAGTATATACTACATGCTGTTTGGATCAAACTGTGTGTGACGCTGTTTAAGCTTAGCACAGGATATACCAAGAAACGCGTTTCAGGTGATGTTTTTCTACACTGATTGTATGATTAAGGGACACTATTATCAGTGCTTGCTTTCTTGATCTTTGACATGTTACTCTGTATCAGAATCAGAAATACTTTATTAAGCCTGAAGGAAATCATGGGTTACAGCAGGCAGCATGCTGGTTGGCACTTGCGCACTCACAAAGGAACGCTCCAACCAAACACACGATGTCTGACCTCCATCTTCTTCTTTTTTTTTTTTTTTTTTTTTTTTTTTCTAAATGACATCAGAAACAGCAGTATGCGACATTACGTGATGGCAGAGCTTCAGTTCATCCTTTGTCATTTTATTTTATTTTATTTTATTTTATTTTATTTATTTATTTATTTATTTATTTTTAAATAAATAGGACAGGGGGAATGAATGAGAGAAAGAGGGGGAGAGAAAGAAAGAAAACCAAAGGGGAGAAGAGATGGTGAGAAGGGGGGGGAAGAGAGAGAAAAAAGAAAAAAAAACAAACAGAGGAGACAGCAAACAACAAAGAGCAACATAATAGTAGAGAAAACAAAGCACCGTCACAATAAACTAGCTAGTCATAGATATCAATAGTTACTAAATAATAAACGATATTGTGCAGCACGCAAGATAGACAGCGCACGTCTGTGAATACCCATGTGTACACCTGTGTGCATACATGTGTGGATCAGCATGCTTGCATTCCAAAGGTTTCTCCATGTAATGATCTGCTAGGGAGTGTGGGGGGGCCACAGCCCCGTCCTCCAGGGTGTGAAGCGGGTATGGAGGAGATCAAAACTCCAGACATCCAGAGGCCCCCAGAACACAAGAGACCACGGAAGACCAACAGAGGGGCAGCCGCGCCACTGTTCCAGTAAGAGCTGAGGAGAGTCCCAGATGAGGGCTCGCCCAGCAGCCGCGGAGCAGAAGCCAGGGGGAGTTGCAGTGACGCGCCCGTGAGCTCCGCCGGCCCCCAGCTGTGCCTGAGTGACCGAGCCCCAGGCCGAGAAGCCGGGGGCACCCCACCTCCAAAGGGGCCCGAGCGAGCCCCAGGCCCCAGGCCCCGACAAGCAGCCGCCAAGGAGTGAGCCGGTGTGTACCCGGACGCCCACCCCCAGACACAAAGAACCACCAACACACCGTGTTGACCTCCATCTTCGAGATAAGTGTTCAAAGGTGTTTGGAATCCAGGATGGGGGACATGGGATGGGGACGAAGAGTCTAAACAGAGTCTGTTATCAGAGAGAGAGTTTTTTTGTTCCGTGCTGCGTTCGATGAGCACATTTTGAGAATTCACGACTTGTCCCATTGTTTCAATCATCGCAGGCAGCCTTGTGGGGTTTTGAACAGCTGTTTCCGCCTTCTTCAATTTCCAATAAGCCAGGGCCAAGCCAGCTCCGATCAGCAAAAACCCCGTTATCATGGTTCCTGAAAAGTAGATGTCTTCAATGTCCTCGATCGACAGTCCTACCAGGCACACGACCCTCTAGTTTTTTCACCCGTCTATCATGTATCCGGCAGGGAACGTCCCTCCAGGACAATCGGGCTCCCCCCGAGCCCAGGCTTGATCAAATCCATAATTCCTCTTTTAGGTTTTGGAGAACAGACTGTGAGAGTCGCATGTTGAGGATTCCTGTTGTAATCATCCAAACCAATTTCCTATCGTACAAGGACGATGAATTAGGTGCCCAGTTTCACTTTCCTGGAGCTGACAATATTTTCTATATGGGGTATCCTACAACTTTTTTCAGTCTGGGACAAGGGAACTGAGGTTGATATCAGTTTGTGTCTCCAAATCCTCATCACAAGCCTCTTTGTAGTGTCCCAGGCTGAACAGTTATAACACTACTCCAGGCAGAGCACAGATTCCTCCATCTAGTTTTTGTGGTTAGCGTGTGGGTTCAAGGCCAAGCCTCGGAAGGGGTGATTTGGGAGTATGGGGTATTCAGTCCACTGTTACAGACAGTCTGGTTCTTATAGAGCTGCAGACAAACACTATATACTGGAATACAGATACCTTCAAAAATCTGGATTTATTTTCATGTATTGCCATCTTTAGAAAAATGACAAGATGCGAGTTCAGGTTTCACTTCCTTGATAACTTATAATTCTCAACATTTCTTGACAATTATGGTTTAACGTATTCCTATCTGTGTATATGTAAAGCAGTAACATTAGACTAATCACTTTTCTTCAAAAAAACTAATATTCATTATTCAGTTACATTTTTTGTTTCTGTGTAACTGTCAATTAATTTTTTTTAAATGGTCAAGACTAGCTTCAAACCAGTTAAAGCTCTGAAGCTTGCTTTGGTTAAAGCAAACTAAAAGACCATGATGTGGTCTGGCATCATGGTCTTGGCTGGTTAGTCATGTTCTAATGCTTTTTCACAGTGTGTCAGTCTATGTTTACAATGAAATTTTCAGTGGAAATTTAAACCAGCAGCTTCAAATTGCTCAGTCATGACATCTTTGAAAAAAAACCAAAACATTAGCCATGAATCACTTCCTCCTCTGACCTCTGAACCACAGCTCTGCTAAGAATGTGTGAAATTCTCAGCTCACTTGGTTAAGCACACTTCAACCTGGTAGGGCAGCACATTGAATGGTCCTCTTACAGCATAGAGCTATTTGTGGACGAGTGAGACACGATGTGGATTACACTTTTTCTCTTCAAAATCATCTGTTTTTCTATGTCCCAAGCTGTTGGTGAGTAAACTTACGATGTAATTGCTGGTATGTTTACAGTTGTTTGCTTATGAGATGAGTAACACTAACTGTAAACAGCCCCTTAAAACACTTCTCTACTACCAGGTGGCAACAACAGTTTCAAAACGCAGAAGCCACTAAGTAAGTACTGACCAAACAGCCGAACATCTTGCCTTTCATTTGTCTCTGAATTCAGACTTCAAAACTGTATCAACTTCAAATCTTGTATGACTGTTATTTTCTGATTCCTTCACTTTCTGTTTGCTTCACTTTGACAGGGTGTGAAGATGTCCTGCTTCACTGTACACAAAGTAGTCTTTTTTGGACACGGTAATTTAAATGATGGACATCTAAACACTCCTGCTTTGGATAAGTTGCATTGTTGTACTACATGAATGAATTAATGTGGACACTATTTGCTGTGGATAAATGCTGGATTTGACTTAACATGACTGTCAAAACGAGAAACACAGATATACATAATACATTTTGTTTATGGAATCAGACATTAAACCTATTGAAATTAAGATGAACAACATGTTCATATCTAGATTGTCATCATTTATGTGTTTTGAAATATCTGCCTCAGCTAAAGGCTATGTCCACACTAATACGTTTTCGTTTGAAAATGCATCGTTTTCTCTCTGTTTTGGCCTCCCGTCCACACTGGGAGTTTCCGCTGATGGAAAACGCAGCGTTTTCAAAAAGTTCTTGAACATGCATATATTTGAAAACGGTGCTTTCACGTCACAGTGTGGACAGCAAAAACGCAGACTTTCTAAACGATGACACATGTTAGTCATATGATGCAGTCATGTGACCAATTAAACTAAGATAGCGGAGGGCATTATAGAGCATTTGTTTTCTATTGCTCTCAATTTTGACAGCCTTATTAAAGATTAATATCAGTTTGTACATGCTCCAGAGACCTTATTTAATTCTCACTCGCGTTTGCATCTTTGTACTTTTGTGTTACTCGCAGCAACAACTCCACCTCATTGTTAGTCCATTTAAAAAACTCGGTGCTTTTCCTCAACATTTCAAAGAGCCTGAAACTAAATAAACGGCAGACAGAAGTGAGGCAGGTCGAATCTTCTTGTTTCACGCATGCTCAGTACTGGAACGTAAGCGTTTTCGGCCGTTACAATGTGGACGCGCAACTCTGAAAACGACTGAAAACGCTAGTGTGGACGCGGAGCATTTTCAGACAAAAATGCCGTTTTCAAATCTATCCGGACTTGTGTGGACGTAGCCAAAGAGTACTCCTGAGAGTGTTAGTGCCTTTCAGAGTCATAAATGATGCTATCCAACTGCCTGTTAGGGTACCTGGGTGGTCGACCCACTGTTTGTCCAGCAATAAAGCAAAGTTTGAGTTTACTTCCGCCTCTTTGAGTCTGCATATTGGGTCCCCAAATCTGCCTGCCACACACAGCCACCATGACACTGACTTTTCCCATATGGAAAAGATATATATAAATCTTATAAAGTTTTTATCTGTCTTGTATGAAACTTGTATGAAAAGCATACAAGAGTGAAAACACATATAAGATCCCTTGAAAAATTATGTAATGAAACTTGTATATTTTGTATACTTATTAAAAACATATATGATTTACTCATGAAAGTGGCCACTTTCATGAGTAAATCATATATGTTTTTACTATTTCTTTCCCATATGGGTTACTAAAAGCTGACAGTGTCATTTGGTGTCAGTGCGCGGCTTAAATCACCAGACTGTCATGCAGGAAAATGGGGTTTGTGTGCTTTTAGAGAACTTCATGGGTTTTTTTTTTTCTTGAACTTTTGGAATTCGGAACATGTTCCATTAAACAATGTGTTCGATCAACTTAGTAGATCCATGTTTATGTTTATCATATATACACTACTAGTCTGTTTACTTTTTACATTGTACATACATATTGAAGATATCAAATACCCAATTTCCTTGCGGGCCAACCTTCGGGATCAATAAAGTTTATTGAATTGAATTGAAATATATAAAGCAAGATATATGGAATTATGCAGCAAAGAACAAAATGACTGTAAATATGTCTTATATTTTAAATTCCTCAAAGTAGCCACCCTTTGCTTTGTTGACAGCGCTGCAAACCCTTGGCCTTCTGTTAATGATCTTAATGATGTAGTCACCTGAAATGGTTTTCACTTCACAGGTGTGCTTTGTCAGGGTTCATTTGTGGAATTTCTTGCCTTCTTAGTTGGGATGGGACCATCAGTTGTGTTATGCAGAAGTCAGGTTGGTACACAGCTGACATCCTGTTTCACAACATATGTTAGAATTCGTATGATGGCAAGAAACAAACAGCTAAGAGAAACAGCAGTCCATCATTGTTTGAAGAACTGAAGGTCAGTCAGTCCGGGAAATTGCTAAAACTGAATGTGTCCAAGTGCAGTCGTGAAAACCATGGAGTGCTGCCATGAAATTGAGGACTGCCACAGGTAACGAAGACCAAGAGTTACCTCTGCTGCTGAGGATAAATTCACCAGTGTAAATCTGTGCTTTGGTCTGATGAGTCCAAATTTGAGATCTTTGGTTCCACCCGTTGTGACTTTGTGCAATGCAGAAAAGATGAACAGATGGTATTTGCACGCATGGTTCTCACCATGAAGCATAAAAGAAGAGATATAATGGTGTGGGGGTGCTTTGCTGGTGACACAGTTGGGGATTTATTCAAAACTGAAGGAACACTGAATCAGCATAGCTACCACAGCATCCTGCAGTTGGACCATCATTTATTTTTCAACTTGACAATGACCCCAAACACACCTCCAGGCTGACCAAGAATGAAAGTGATGGAGTGCTGCGCCAGATGACCTGGCCTCCACAGTCACCTGATCTAAACCCAGTCGAGATGTTTTAGGATGAGATGGACCGCAGAGGTAAAGCAAAAGGGCCAACAAGTGCTCAGCGTCTCTGGGAACTCTTTGAAGTCTGTTGGAAAACCATTTCAGGTGACGACCTCATGAAGCTCAGTGAGAGAATGCCAAGAGTGTGCAAAGCAGTAATCAAAGCGTGGCTATTTTTAAGAATGTAAAATATAAAACATGTATTGACTTTTTTCACACTTTTTGGTTTTCTACATAATGCCATGTGTGCTCATTTATAGTTTTGATGCCTTCAGTGAGAATCTGCAACATAAATAGTCGTGAAAATTAAAACAAACCAGTAAATGTGAAGGTGTGTCCCAACTTTTGACTGGTAGTGTTTATCAATATTTGCAGGTAATATATTATCTGATTATTGTAATGGAAACGTCACCTTCAGTATATATTCATAGATTTAGTTGTGCCATTTGTTTCAGATCAGTGAATACTTATATAGTGAGTATATCTTTGCAGGTGTTATGAGGAAAGAACTGCAGCCTGTGAACTCAAAAGACGTATATTCGGCTTCAGTCGTCAAACCGTGAACTCATCACTAGAGGTGAGCACATTTTTGGGGGGTGAGTTTGTTGTTTTTATAATATCTTTTCTTGAAAGATCTATAAATACCTGAGACAAGGAACAAGGTGCAAGCAAAGGTAACTTTTATAAATTATAACCTGTGTTATATATATTTGTATTGATGTACTGTGGAGGATGTATGCATTCAGATCTTTTTTTCATGCTCTTGTTTGTGCTTTTCAGGGTGATATGAACCCTACATTTCACCACAGAATTCACATCCCATCCTCAGCTTTCAAAGGAGCTGCCACCACAGTGATGGCTTCTGTTATCAACAGCACTTATTTTAAGGTAAGTAGAACCTTAAGAGAGAACCTTAGTCCCATCATACAGTAAGAAGACATAATTTAAGTATTGTCTTTCATAGAAACATTTTGCATCAACTTTTTTTTCCAAAAATGTTGTTTATTTACTTTATATCCTCTGTCCCGTGAAGTGGAAATCAGGTCTTGTTTGATTGCAGAATGATATGATGGCTGAGTGAGGCAGAGAGGATTTTACTCAGAGCTGTAGAAGTTTATTTATAGCTGTCAGAAGGTGATGTGGAAGAAAACCAGACGTTAGAGACACAAAGGTGAAAGTTCAGATGGAGGATGGCAGCTTTTGAAAAGCCTGAGCAGGGGCAAAATGACGACATCCAAAAGTCCATTATGGCTTTGCAAGCTAGGGCACTAAAGTTGTAGGATTTGGATTCTCAACAGGACACTGCCCTGCAAAACGAATCATCTTTCCATGGCATCCTTGTTGCATTCTCTTTAAGAGTTCTCACTTTTCAGAGGGCTTTATTATTTTCTCACGCATCAGTAGGAATGGAAACTTATAAGAATTCAGCAATGCTGATTCCATTATCAATCATTTTTACCCACTCGATTGCTTATTGATGCTCATTAGGTTCTCGTGGGCTTTGCTTTGAGAGTCACCACCAGCTCCAAGCAGCATGTCAAAGATATGCAAATGAATTGCATGCTGTGAGCTATTTCCCCTCTTTGTTGTTATCAGAATTGGGGTCTTTTAAAAAGTAATGTATTACACATTGCACAGGATACTTTTCTTCAAAGTAACGCAGTACGCTACTTAGTTACATCTAGGGCAACATAATTCGTTATACTACTCCTTACATTACTTTTGCCTTTCTCTGTAAAATGGCCCAAAATTCACTCTTTCATAATTACCATTTCATAATATAAACCTACAGCCTACAGTCCCACACACAACAAAAATCCCATTTTCAACACTAACATTACTGTCATGTGTCTGCCTCATTGCAGCTGAGTCCTCCTCAGAAAAGTAGATTCCAATTCCACCGCAGAGAAGGCACTGTGCTCGGAGGATTAGTCCTCGCGGTGAAGGCAGTTAACATGACAGAAAATGGTGAAATCATCAGAAATCTCTTACAACCCATCATGTTATTCTTCAAACACAACAAAAAGGTAAAAATACAAACATAGTTGGGCTAACATCATATTTAGAAAATGGAATAACCTGTTTCCCTCTTATTTTGATTTAGTCTTCACAGATTACAGATGGAACTTGTGTATTTTGGCAGGAATCAGACAATGGAACAGGTGCTGTTATCGATGTCATTGTTCGGTATTTTTATTTCTAAGTAAAAAGGTGACGCACACTTACTTGCTCTGATTGTTTTTCCTGTGTAGGTTACTGGAGTGTTAAAGGCTGCAAAACCAATAAAACTGAAGATGAATTTATTTGCAGCTGCGACCATCTCAGCTTCTTTGCTGTTCTTGTGGTAATATAATTTAACAGAAAATGATCAAACTTTTGTCTATTTTTGTCTTATTATTGTTTAGCAGCTGTAACTCGGCACAGCATATCAATTAGGAGACAAAATGCCATGTGTATAGCATTTGAGGGGTGACATATTTTGTATAATTAAATATACCAGAATAAATGAGAGGAATAGATTTTTTAATGCCAGCGTGAGCTAACCAGTGCATTACATATAGATTGTATAAAAGCAGGATGTAACCTGATATGTCACTCGTTAGTTTTGGAATCAGCATTTAGAAGCCTCAGTGTTAGCCGCCTTGTGGAAGAGAGGACAGCAGATGTTAGGAATCTTCATCAATAGTCTGTATTGGTACATTGTACAGATACAGATATCTGCTTTTGATGACTTACGAAACAACAATAAAATACTGGAATACTTGTATTCTCTCACTAAAACTGAAGTACAAATTGTTTGGCTGGGTTGTGTCACACCACATAGTATTTGTTAAATAATATCACTAATCTAAAGGTTAGCTGACAGTATTTAGCCAGAGCTGTTTATGCTAGCAAACATGTTACTCAAAGCTGGCGCATGCCTGACTTTGAGCCTCTCGTTATAACTACAATTATAACTCTATTACAATTGTAATAAATAGGATGAAATTATCTATAGAACCTCAAAACTATTTTTGTACTAAGCTGTAAACTTGATTGTTAATATCATTATGGCAATTTTAACCTTAGTAATTAACTTGCTTTTGGAGGAACTGCAGTGTTTAGCATGTCTACACCAGCTTCTTGGTCACACTGGTACTTCCTTTATTTTTACATACGTACATACAGTGGGGCAAAAAAGTATTTAGTCAGCCACCGATTGTGCAAGTTCCCCCACTTAAAATGATGACAGAGGTCAGTAATTTGCACCAGAGGTACACTTCAACTGTGAGAGACAGAATGTGAAAAAAAATCCATGAATTCACATGGTAGGATTTGTAAAGAATTTATTCGTAAATTAGGGTGGAAAATAAGTATTTGGTCACCTCAAACAAGGAAAATCTCTGGCTCTCACAGACCTGTAACGTCTTCTGTAAGAAGCTTTTCTGTCCCCCACTCGTTACCTGTATGAATGGCACCTGTTTGAACTCATCATCTGTATAAAAGACACCTGTCCACAGCCTCAAACAGTCAGACTCCAAACTCCGCCATGGCCAAGACCAAAGAGCTTTCGAAGGACACCAGGAAAAGTATTGTAGACCTGCACCAGACTGGGAAGAGTGAATCTACAATAGGCAAGCAGCTTGGTGTGAAAAAATCAACTGTGGGAGCAATCATCAGAAAATGGAAGACATACAAGACCACTGATAATCTCCCACGATCTGGGGCTCCACGCAAGATCTCATCCCGTGGGGTCAAAATGATCATGAGAACGGTGAGCAAAGATCCCAGAACCACACGGGGGGACCTGGTGAATGACCTGCAGAGAGCTGGGACCAAAGTAACAAAGGTCACCATCAGTAACACACTACAACGGCAGGGAATCAAATCCCGCAGTGCCAGACGTGTTCCGCTGCTGAAGCCAGTGCATGTCCAGGCCCGTCTGAAGTTTGCCAGAGAGCACATGGATGATACAGCAGAGGATTGGGAGAATGTCATGTGGTCAGATGAAACCAAAGTAGAACTTTTTGGTATAAACTCAACTCGTCGTGTTTGGAGGAAGAAGAATACTGAGTTGCATCCCAAGAACACCATACCTACTGTGAAGCATGGGGGTGGAAACATCATGCTATGGGGCTGTTTTTCTGCCAAGGGGACAGGACGACTGATCCGTGTTAAGGACAGAATGAATGGGGCCATGTATCGTGAGATTTTGAGCCAAAACCTCCTTCCATCAGTGAGAACTTTGAAGATGAAACGAGGCTGGGTCTTCCAACATGACAATGATCCAAAACACACCGCCCAGGCAACAAAGGAGTGGCTCCGTAAGAAGCATTTGAAAGTCCTGGAGTGGCCTAGCCAGTCTCCAGACCTCAACCCCATAGAAAATCTGTGGCGGGAGTTGAAAGTCCGTGTTGCTCGGCGACAGCCCCAAAACATCACTGCTCTCGAGAAGATCTGCATGGAGGAATGGGCCAAAATACCAGCTACTGTGTGTGCAAACCTGGTAAAGACCTATAGTAAACGTTTGACCTCTGTTATTGCCAACAAAGGTTATGTTACAAAGTATTGAGTTGTATTTTTGTTATTGACCAAATACTTATTTTCCACCCTGATTTACGAATAAATTCTTTACAAATCCTACCATGTGGATTCATGGATTTTTTTTTTCACATTCTGTCTCTCACAGTTGAAGTGTACCTCTGGTGCAAATTACTGACCTCTGTCATCATTTTAGGTGGGGGAACTTGCACAATCGGTGGCTGACTAAATACTTTTTTGCCCCACTGTATGTATTTACTGAACGCCTGAATTGTCACAAACTTGGAAGCGGAGAAGCTAAGCTACATCACTTACATTGGATCAGCACTTTCAGTCGTCTTCACATTCATCAGCCTGATTGTCTTCATTTGGTTACAGTGAGTGTCCTCATGTCCCGTGATGTGTCATATTTAAATATTGTAGAATATCTCTTTAGTTTAGCAGACGAGACATTTTTTTCATCCTTTCATCAAGGACCTAAAGTAATGTGTTCATACTAAGTGAATTACTGCCATCTCATTTCATAGAAAAATTACATTTTGTTTTGTTTTTTACTATGTTGTGAAAGATTAGACATTAGTTATTAAGCATCACAAAGCTAACTTGTCCCACACACGTAAGATGACATTCATTGTGAAAGATTTCGCATCAAGCATTTCATTCTGAGTGGCAAAAACCCAGGTCACACAAATAGCCAGGAAGCCCACCACAGTGTTTGGTGGCTAAGTAGATGGCTTGCCTGTTTCTGAGAAGCCTACTATGTTATGTTGCTAGGTTACAGCGCCTCTCACCACATGTTGCTTCATAGGACCTCAGTTGTTGCTCCAATTTTTGAAACTTTTTAAAAAATAATGTTTGAACTTCCCTGCATGAATGCCTTTTTGCAAAACCTAGTTAGTTTGTAAACCTAAAGAAATGCCTGGGTTTTTGCCATTTGCAGAGAGTAGGTTTTAGTTCCTTATAAATAAATTATTGTTCTCTCTTCTATAGTTTGACTTGTTGTTTGTGACACTGCACCCTGCTGATAGTAAACCACTTCAGCCCCCAGTCTAGTTTCAACACACCTATATGTCAGTATTGCGCAGCAGCTATAGCTATAGCTGATACTTTCGCTTTAGTTCATTGTAAATTTACATTGAACTTTGGCCACATCTCAATTTACCTTAAAGTATTTTACGGGGTTGGAAAGCTTTGAAACACTGTGAATCCTGACACCTATGTCAGTTGTTGTTAAATTGTTTATATTTAATGGCTCTTGCATGTGACGGTGCCAAAATGACATGGTGGGGACGTCTGTATGTCTGTTGGTCACAGATGAACGAACTACTGCATAGGCATAGAAACAAGAAATTGGGTACTTAAGTTGTAAACACCATTCAATGTTCATGAGATGTACAGGAAATTTTCATTGTGGGTTCTACACAGGACAAGCAACTCCTTCATGAAACTACCATGAAGAAATGTGTAAGGTATTCATGTGACAACAGGAAATAGCTTGACAGTAGCAACAGTTGGCCTCAGCTGTAGCACACTTTGACAAAGTGTGAAGACCCTATCATCACTGCTGCCAGCTTCAGTTTTTTGTCTTTTATTGTTTAATCCACAGGACCACGAGCCTCACTTACACATAGACAAGACATTTTATCTTGTATATTTAGTCTTATAGCCATTATAAACAAACAACAAGGTTATAATCTCTATTGGTGTAAAGTATGGAAAAGCATGGAGTATGAACAGATATTGAAACTGATTTTAAAATTAAACATCTAAAAATGCCAGATTATGTCTACTGTCTGCAAAACTGGTGATAAATAAATAATCTTGTTTCTCTTGTAGTCGGCGGTGTCCTGAGAAGGCCACAGGTCTGCACATGCAACTTACAGGGGCAATGTTCTGCCTCCACCTCAGCTTCCTGCTGTGCAGTTTCTGGGAATGGCTGAGGAAAAATGAGGACAGCTCAATTTGCCTGGTTCTTGGTCTCTTTCTACATTGGTCTCTGCTGGCCACCTTGACCTGGAGTGCTCTGGAGGGGTTTCAAATCTACCTTTTGCTCATTCGGGTGTTTAACATCTATATCAGGAGATACCTGCTCAAACTCTGCCTGGTTGGATGGGGTTAGTGAAGTTTTGTTGGGACATTGTTTCTGTCAAATATGGCAAAAAAAAAGAAAAGAAAAACACTAATGAAGCAATAGTTCCAAGACAAGACTGAGGGCAATTAATATAGGCAAGGTAATTAATGATTTGAAAACAGGAGAGTAACAAGACAGCTGAATCTAATCTAACTTCTATTGTTATCCTTCTATCAGAAATGAGAAACTACCTAAACGGAAATACTGAGCACAAGTTGGGGGTGAAACTCATAACAGTTGAGACCTGACAATAAAGAACACTAAGAAACCAAAAAACTGACAAATAACCTTAAAAACAAGTAGAATTATACAAAGAAAAATTCAGAAACAAGAGTATCCTGAGCTCTCTTTGGCTGTTGTTTGAATCGGTCACCTTTAAATTAAGAAAAAGTTATAGTGGGACATTTTCACACATTATCTACTAAAGCTGCTGAATGTTATTGACTTTTTTCAGTCTGTGGTTTCCATTGTGTTGCAAATCACTTTCTCTCTCAGTTCAGCTTCTAGTCAACTGAACAAACTGACAAAGTCTGGCAGTTTAGAGATAAGAGGAATATGTAGATGGGGCTCAATCTCAAAATTTCTCAAGGTTGGTGATTTGTGTAGACTCATATTATTGTTTTTTGTTTGTTTGTATTTTTTTCATGTAGAGCAATTTCTTTTTGAATAAATTAAATTAAGAGAAGCCACATTCCAGTGTTTGCGTTTTACACGTACACACACAGACACTGGCAAGGTTCTTACACTGAAGCCCAGAACCTGGTGATAATCTAACATTCTCCGTATATCTTTTATTTTATGTTTAAGAAACTGCAATGGATATTGCATTTTTTTTTAAAAAATGTTACATTCAAATCAAATTCAAATTCAAATTTTATTTGTCACGTACACAGTCATACACAGTACGATATGTAGTGAAATGCTTGGACAACTGCTCGTGACCTAAAGAAAACAAAAAAGGAAAAGGCTATGAATAAGATAGGAAATAAATATGAAAAATTAAAAAGGGTAAATTTAACTAGGAAGGAATAAAATATAAATTAAGGTTGAAAATAAAATAACTGTACAACAAAATACACAATATAGAACTATATAAGAATGTATGAAGAAATCTAAATAAATATATACACAATAACAGCAGCTGTACAAGTATTAACTGGAAGTGAAGAATGTAGTGACCAGTGTTGTGCAATCCACATTATGTCTTGTGCAGTGCAAATATGCTTAAAGTGATTAAGTGATGAAGTGATCTTATCTTGGTCTTTGTATCTAATGATTCAATTAAAGGTAATTGATCATTCCCTTGTCCAGGTTTTCCCACATTGGTCGCAACAATTTGTGGGATTTCAGGTGTTTATGGAAAGTACACTCTACAACTAAGGGAAACCAAAAATGGCAATTCAACAGCACAAATGTAAGAAACTCAGTGGTTTTGATTTTAAATATGTAATTAGCATGGTATTTTGACTATGCACAGATACATGCTGTTATGTTAAAGGAGCTCACTGTATTTTTTTATTTTATCTTTTATAATGGGCAGGTGCTGGATTAGCAGCGACTTCCAATCAAAGCGTCCTCTAGTCAGCTACATCACTACTGTGGCCTTTCCTTTGTTGGTGGTCGTGTTCAACGCCTGCATGCTGGGGCTGGTTGTGTGTAAGATGCGGAAATTAAGAAGTGATGATAAGAAGATGAGCTTTGTAAGCAGCAGTGACTGGAAGGAGATAAACAAAGAGAAAAGAAAGAGGTTATGGAGGGACTGTGTCACAGTGCTGGGCCTCAGCTGTGTGCTGGGGTTACCTTGGGGGTTAGCCAGCACTACGTACGTTTCACTCGCTGGGATCTACATATTCACCATTTTGAACTCCCTTCAAGGTTATTATGTGAATGATTCTTATATCAAATATGCACTGGACTTTGATCACTTGCAAGAAGAATTAACACTCGTTTTTCTTCTCTTCTCAGGTGTATTTATATTTCTTTGGTCTGTGGGTTTGGCCCGGAAGTCTTGATCGGGCTGTTTCATTAGTCAGAGACTCTTCAAAAAGTGTTGAACACCAGTTTCAGCAGCCAATAGCCAATAACAGCCAAGATGTATTATCTATGACGTATATTAGGTGTTGACTGTTGAATGAGTTTTTGGGTTTTTGTTGCTGTTTTGTTTCTTCTTTTATATGCAAATGTCTGTTTTGAAAAAATGCATTTATGATTCTTATGGTTGTATTATTTTTAGTAGAGAAGGCAAAGATTCTCAACCATTTACTGATTCATAAAAGACAATTCATGTATTATGACTTAGGTAAGTTACTGTAGATGGAAACTTTTGTGCTTTCATAAAAACATTTGGTTTCACTGCAGGTCAGTCTCTCAGTGAACTATACACTTTCAGATATTTTTGTCTGGCTTTCTCACGTATGAGTCAAGTAGGAAAACTATGATTAAAATATTTTAATGCACAGCATCATTTCTACACACTTAAATGGTCTAAATGATCATTTCTGGAAACTATCATAAGGTTTAAAGTTTCATGTTAGTTTCTTGAGCTAAAATTGCACCTAACCTTTTGCTTTAGTGGTTTAGGTACAAAGATTGCTGTCAGTCCTTCTGTTTTAATCAACAGTACATCCTGAAACACAAGCCAGCCTATCACAGAGCCCACATACCCTCTCAGCAGCTGACTCAATGTGTATTAGTCACCTATAATTGAGGAGACTATGCAGACACGCCATGACTTTTTGCTACTGTACAGATGATTGTGAAGCATGAATGTTGCAACATAGCTCAGTGGTTAGTACTGTTACTGATGGAGTGTTTAACATGAAAAAATACTTTTATTGCTTTGGACTGAACTAACTTTTCAGTGAAATGGGGCTGCAGACATCATCTGATGTTATCTGACAGTGCTCAGACTGTGTTTACTGAACGCAATATGGATGAGATCTTGGCTCTGCAACGGGGAATTGATACAGGGAGTGCAGAATTATTAGGCAAATGAGTATTTTGTCCACATCATCCTCTTCATGCATGTTGTCTTACTCCAAGCTGTATAGGCTCGAAAGCCTACTACCAATTAAGCATATTAGGTGATGTGCATCTCTGTAATGAGAAGGGGTGTGGTCTAATGACATCAACACCCTATATCAGGTGTGCATAATTATTAGGCAACGTCCTTTCCTTTGGCAAAATGGGTCAAAAGAAGGACTTGACAGGCTCAGAAAAGTCAAAAATAGTGAGATATCTTGCAGAGGGATGCAGCAGTCTCAAAATTGCAAAGCTTCTGAAGCGTGATCATCGAACAATCAAGCGTTTCATTCAAAATAGTCAACAGGGTCGCAAGAAGCGTGTGGAAAAACCAAGGCGCAAAATAACTGCCCATGAACTGAGAAAAGTCAAGCGTGCAGCTGCCAAGATGCCACTTGCCACCAGTTTGGCCATATTTCAGAGCTGCAACATCACTGGAGTGCCCAAAAGCACAAGGTGTGCAATACTCAGAGACATGGCCAAGGTAAGAAAGGCTGAAAGACGACCACCACTGAACAAGACACACAAGCTGAAACGTCAAGACTGGGCCAAGAAATATCTCAAGACTGAGTTTTTCTAAGGTTTTATGGACTGATGAAATGAGAGTGAGTCTTGATGGGCCAGATGGATGGGCCCGTGGCTGGATTGGTAAAGGGCAGAGAGCTCCAGTCCGACTCAGACGCCAGCAAGGTGGAGGTGGAGTACTGGTTTGGGCTGGTATCATCAAAGATGAGCTTGTGGGGCCTTTTCGGGTTGAGGATGGAGTCAAGCTCAACTCCCAGTCCTACTGCCAGTTTCTGGAAGACACCTTCTTCAAGCAGTGGTACAGGAAGAAGTCTGCATCCTTCAAGAAAAACATGATTTTCATGCAGGACAATGCTCCATCACACGCGTCCAAGTACTCCACAGCGTGGCTGGCAAGAAAGGGTATAAAAGAAGAAAAACTAATGACATGGCCTCCTTGTTCACCTGATCTGAACCCCATTGAGAACCTGTGGTCCATCATCAAATGTGAGATTTACAAGGAGGGAAAACAGTACACCTCTCTGAACAGTGTCTGGGAGGCTGTGGTTGCTGCTGCACGCAATGTTGATGGTGAACAGATCAAAACACTGACAGAATCCATGGATGGCAGGCTTTTGAGTGTCCTTGCAAAGAAAGGTGGCTATATTGGTCGCTGATTTGTTTTTGTTTTGTTTTTGAATGTCAGAAATGTATATTTGTGAATGTGGAGATGTTATATTGGTTTCACTGGTAAAAATAAATAATTGAAATGGGTATATATTTGTTTTTTGTTAAGTTGCCTAATAATTATGCACAGTAATAGTCACCTGCACACACAGATATCCCCCTAAAATAGCTAAAACTAAAAACTACTTCCAAAAACATTCAGCTTTGATATTAATGAGTTTTTTGGGTTCATTGAGAACATGGTTGTTGTTCAATAATAAAATTATTCCTCAAAAATACAACTTGCCTAATAATTCTGCACTCCCTGTATACCTGATGACCAGTGAGGGACATTAGCCCGACTGCAAAATCGGATGCAGTTGTTCACATTAACCCAAACAACAGCAAGTTTATTTATTCATGCGGGTGGCTGTGGCTCAGGTGGTAGAGCAGATCAGACTGGAAGGTTGGTGGTTCGATCCTTGGCTTCCCCAGTCTGCATGTCAGATATCCTTGGGAAAGATGATGCGTTCATCGGAGTGTGAATGTGTGTGAATGTAGATTACTTTGTACTTGTGTTTAGAAGTGCTTGAATGGGTGGATGAGGCATGTTGTGCACAGTGCTTTGAGTACTTGGGGAGAGTAGAAAAGCACTATATAAGAATCAGTCCATAATCATCTCCTTCACTCATTCGGCTCTGGAACAACAAATTCTTCTCCTTGATAATGGGACTCTGTTTTGACTCTCTGCCCCTATCCTTCAAGGACACCTGCATCAGCCGAGGACTGTTGACTTTTGCTTAACCAGGTGAAAGGACACACTCTCTCTCAAGCTGAACACAGGATACACACACACACACATGCATGTACACTGATGCAGATATACACTCACCCCCCGCCCCCATTCCAAAGCCTCTGATGCTTGCTACCCACCTGATGCAGATGGTCCAGTCCAGCACTGGAAAAGGCTGCAGGACAACATGGCTGCTGTCTACACCGGATCATTCCTTACCCCATACCCTCCTCCCTTTGCATGTCACGTCCTTTTACATGGTGTAAGATGTGAATATTCATTTGCTTTTTTGTTTTCTTTACTGTCCTCAAACTGGCTCCCAGTTAGGAGCCCAGTTCGAGTAGATTTTTTCTCCTCTTGTCCCTGATGTGTGTACTTTCACTGTTCTTTTTGGTGCGGCCAAATAAAATTTCAACTTTGAACATCTAGGAAATTTGGGGGTGACTCTACACTGTGTAGTATAGTCATATAGTGGCATGGTAGCTTTATAATTAATATAATTATTTTAATTACTAATATACTGCTGTGTGGATTTATCTATGAGAATAAAATATTTTAAAAAGTAATTCTAGTTTTTTAAATTTTTTTAAATGTGTAATAAAAATTAAAATAGTAAGTAATAAGTAAATACAAGTATCAAAATGTCCATTCATCCATCCATTTTCCTGCCTCGCATCCGAGCTTGGGCCCAGGGGTAACTATCTGAGCAGAGAAGCCTAGACTTCCCACACCCCACCTACCTCCTCCAACTTGCATTCCCAGGCAGCTGAGAGATACAATCTCTAGTGAGTCCAGGGTCTGCCCTGGGTGGGGCCTCCTCCCGGTAGGATCATAGTCTTGGAATGGGAAGTGCTGGTTCTCATTCCTGCTGCTTCACACTCAACCACAAACTGCTCCATTCAAAGGAGAAGGTTACCGCACGATGAACACATCATCTCAAAAAACCCAAACAAAGAACCTCCACCACCTTGCCATGCTTCTGTCCAACACCAACCGGAAACAAGTACAACTTACTACCAGTGATATGAACCGAGCTCTGGCTTTATTTGTACAGGGACAGAATGGTCTGTAAAAATGAGCCAGGCACCCCATTCTCCCAAAGCACCCTCAACAGGATATCCTGAGGGACCCTGTCAAATGCCTTCTCCAAGTCCACAAAACACATGTATACTGGTTGAGCAAACTCCTACCCACCTTTGAATATCCTTGAGAGGTTTAAGATGTGGCTGTAGCTCAGGTGGCAGAGCAGGTCAGCCACTAATCAGAAGGTCGGTGGTTCGATCCCAGGCTGCATCCTGGCTGCATGCCAAATATCCTTGGGCAAGATACTAACCCCGTGTTTGCCTACTGGTGGTGGTCAGAGGGCCCGGTGGCGCCTGTGTCCGGCAGCCTCGCCTCTGTCAGTGCGCCCCAGGGCAGCTGTGGCTACAATGTAGCTTGCTATCGCCAGTGTGTGAATGTGTGAATGACTGAATGTAGTGTAAAGCGCGTTGGGGTCCTATGGACTAGAAAAGCGCTATACAAATGCAGGCCATTTACCATTTACCAAGATGTGGTCTAGTGTTCCACAGTCAGAACAAAAAAGTCATCATTCCTCCAGAATCCAAGGTTTGACAAACTGGCAGACTGTCCTGTACCCTGGCATACACTTTCCTAAGGAGGCTGAAAAGTGTGATCCCCTATTGTTGGAGCTCTTCTTTAACAGGGGAACCACCACTACAGTCTGCCATTCCAAAAGCACCCCCTAAGATCTCCACTGAACATTTCAGAGGTGTGTTAACCAGGACAGCCCTACAACATCCAGAGCCTTCAGGAACTCAGGAAGGCAGCATCAAAATAAACCCATAGATATATTATAAAGACATGAAGTACAATATACAATATTTACATACAAAATATAGTGAAGGAGTAGCAGAAATAAGCTGGAAATAAGTGTAAGCATAATAAGCATAATAGATTAATTTTAAATGGTTTCTATGACTCAGTAATGAAACCTTATTTAACTGAGGCTTTTGTAATGGTACTGATGGCTGTAACTATCAGCATGGTTTGAAACAGGGTGCAACAGTACTCTGTGTTGGATTTTTTTACTTTGGAAATGTCTTTTATTTTTTTAAACTTATTTCCTAACTCTCTTTTTTTCTTTAGGGTGGATTTTAAGATTTCTGTCAGACTTGTTTTAACATTAATTTATTGAAGTTCTTTGCCCAAGTTATGATCTCATCAAGTTATCTTGTGTTTATGAATGTTTATCTTTCTCTGGCTCTCTCTGTCAACCAAGAAGCACAGCATAGAAAGGATTAAGGTCATACCATTAATTCAAATGATAAAGCCTTGATAAAACAACTGATAATTTTCCTTCATGTAACCATAGCAGCAGGGTCTCCGGCAGACAACGCTCAAACTGATTCACTGCCTGTGTGTTCAGTGTGGTTATATACTGTCTGTGTAAATATTTCTATCATAACTCAGAGCAACAACTCACTACTTGAACTTCTGCCTCTGCCAAGAACATGTGATATATACAGATGTGAAACTCCCACTTTGTCTCAGTTAGCAAGCCTCAGCCAAGCAGAGCAACACCCTGTGGACCTCATAGAGCATACCTGTGTTTGTTGCTGAGTGAGCCACGATGTGGATTACATTTTTTCTAGTTACAATCTTCTGTTTTTCTATGTCCCAAGCTGTGGGTGAGTAAATTTACCATATCATTCCTATGATGTTTAAAGTTGTGTGCTTGTGAGGGAAATACCACTCTAATTGTTAGTATCTCAAGGTTGTGGATTTTCTCAAACCACGAGAAAAGTAAAATCACTGACTAGCATCTCAGCTATCAGGTAGCAGGAACGCTAAGTTCCTAGAGTGTTGATCAAACAGCTGCTTCTCACTTGCCTCTGGAGTTAAATGTCACTTTGATGTTTTATCACCTTTCAGTCTTGTTTAAATGTATTAATGATGCTAATTTCGATCCCTTCACTTCTGGTGTGTATCACTATAGCAGACTACTGTGAAAATGTTCTCCAGGAGTGCCTAAAAAGGCCCACTGCATGGACACGGTAATTCGTTTTATTCTGTACATCTCACATTCCTGCTTTTGAAAGGTTATATCATCTTTCTCATGAATAAATAAACTTGCTGTTGATAAATACTAGTTTAACATAATTGATACAACCTGAAGGAGAGATATGATCACTGTTTATGCATTCACTCCATATAACAGAAGTTACTGCCTGTTAAAATGTTTTTATCTCTACATAGGCTGCTTTTAGTGTTTTAACATGGTTTCATCATAAAAACGTACTAAGTGTATAATCTTTTTAATTTATACCGTAATCTCAATCAAATGTGACACTGAGGGCTCCTGGCAAAGTGTCTGTGGATAAATAAATATTTATGACATGAAAGGACACTTTGTCACATTTTGAGATGCATTTGACACTCGGGAAGCGTAGGACATTATTTTTAAATTACTGTCAGGGGTTTTCAAAGATCAGTGCTATAATGTGTCTAACTGGAAAGGGTGTTGGTTGCACTCCCCAAAATAACTGATACTTTTTACAGCAAGTAAATATAATATATAACTGTGAACAAATGAAATCAATAAATTCAAATCACACCAAAGCAGACTGTGAAATAATTGTTTTTTCTTATTTATTAATTATTTCTATTAGTTTATTGTCTCTGTCTTCAGTTATATCACTAATGCCCATTTGTATATCTGAACTATGTTAAATTTCTGTTGGTAGTTGTTATGAGGACAAAATTATGAGCTGCAAGCCAAGAGGTCGCTTCATGGCAGGCATCAGACAACTCAAAGTAGACTCGCTTCAAGAGGTGAGGTCATTTGGAGCTGAAGTGCTTTTTGGAAGTGAAAAAATTATATTTTATCTGAATTGCTTTATTTATGTATTAATGAACTCAATAAATAACAAAAACAGAGTATTTAAAAAAGAATTTGTGTATACTCTTCAGGTTGATGTGAGTCCTACACATGAACATAGGGTTCACATCCCATCATCAGCTCTCCAGAGAAGCAGAGGAAATGTGCCTGAGGTGGAGGTCCTGGTGATGGCCTCTGTAATAAACAGCAGTCATTTTAAGGTCAGTGACTCCAGAAAGAGAACGTCGATGTCATTCACTGAAAAAATGCTGATCTGTGGGGGTTGCAGGTTCAGTTTCACTGGAGGCCACAGTAGGAAATGAGAAATACTGTCCTTTATATCATGTCAAATATGTACGTCTGGTAGTATATTTAATAAAATCTTAAATTTCCATGTACATATACCCAGAAATCTCACCAGTTTTGTTTCACATTCCTGAAAATGACAAATCAGTTGTGTGGGAAGTTTCATAAACAAGAGTAAAAACATGTTTGAGCATGTAGTTCAGCCTTCAGCCTCCCTTCTTCCCTCAAATTAGTGCACATAAACTTGCCTTTACAGCTCAGGTACAGAAAACAGAAACATACTGGGCTGTATGTCTCTTGTAAATTTGGCAACTTCCTAAAGTCGCTGGTGTCCATCTGTAACTCCATGTCTCTTGTCATGCTGGTGTGTGGATTCAAACATCACAATCACAATGTAAATTATGTTCTTTAAAAACAGATATATGGCAATCTGTTATACAAACGTCTTCTGCTAAAAAGAACCTCAGACTTCCATCTTTGCTTGCATCTGCTTTCCTGTTTGTTCTATTCTGCTTTTTCTAGCTTGTAAGCTTTCAGGTGGTTTTGAGTGTTGAGTCTGTTTAGGCTGTTTACTGCGTGGGTGTGTGTAGTTGTGTAAACCACATACTAACAAATGTGTTAGTATGTGGGCTGAATTTAAATTAGTGAAGGGCTAGATTTGGCCTGTGCGTCTTCATATTAAGAGGAGAGTTTTTTGCAGTCAGTCTCATCCCAGCACTTTGTTCACATGTCTCACACATTGCAGCTAAGTCCTCGTTCAAAAGGCAGGCAAATACAGTTTCACCGCAGAGAAGGCACTGTGTTTAGGGGCTCAGTCCTATCAGTGAAGGCAGGAACTCTTTCAGTGAATAACCTCCAGCAACCCATCAAGTTAATCTTCAGACATGACAAAGAGGTAAGAAGACATCAAAATGGTTGCAACAGCATCTTACTTTGAAAATCTAATAACCTGTTTTCATAGTATTTCTATTCATTTTTTTCACAGGTGGAAAATGGGACTTGTGTATTTTGGGCAGAATCAGCGATGGGAAATGGAACAGGTATTATTACAGATGTCAGCCTCCAGTATAGTCATTTCTAAATCTAAAGAAGATTTACAACTACTTAATGTATTTGTACATATTTATTTTATTAGGTTATTGGAGCACTGAAGGCTGTGAAACCAGTAACACAGGAAATGAATTTATTTGCAGCTGCAACCATCTGAGCTTCTTCGCTGTGCTTGTGGTAAAATGATAACATCTTTCTACAGAATGTAATGAAGCCCTGTGATAAAAACCTGCGCTTGTCTAATCAGTGTATAGCAACTTTAATTAGGAACAGCATATGAATTGAGTCTTTAAAGAGCTTGAAGGGTGAAGTCTTTAACTTCAATGCAAGCAACAAATTTTAGTCACAAAGCCATTTTCTCTTGGAAGTTCCCACATATAATAACAAATTCAATTCAATTTTATTTATATAGCGCCAAATCACAACAACAGTCGCCTCAAGGCACCTTATATTGTAGAGTAAAACCCAACAATCATATGACCCCTTATGAGCAAGCACTTTGGCGACAGTGGGAAGGAAAAACTCCCTTTTAAAAGGAAGAAACCTCAGACAGAACCAAGCTCAGGGAGGGGCGGGGCCATCTGCTGCAACCGGTTGGGGTGAGAGAAGGAAGACAGGATAAAGACATGCTGTGGAAGAGAGACAGAGGTTAATAACAGGTATGATTCAATGCAGAGAGGTCTATTAATACATAGTGAGTGAGAAAGGTGACTGGAAAGGAAAAACTCAATGCATCATGGGAATCCCCCGGCAGCCTACGTCTATTGCAGCATAACTAAGGGAGGATTCAGGGTCACCTGGTCCAGCCCTAACTATATGCTTTAGCAAAAAGGAAAGTTTTAAGCCTAATCTTGAAAGTAGAGATAGTGTCTGTCTGATTCCACAGAGGAGGGGCCTGAAAACTGAAGGCTCTCCCTCCCATTCTACTTTTAAATACTCTAGGAACAACAAGTAGGCCTGCAGTGTGAGAGCGGAGTGCTCTAATAGGGTGATATGGTACTACAAGGTCATTAAGATGGGGCCTGATTATTTAAGACCTTGTATGTGAAGAACAGGATTTTGAATTCAATTCTGGATTTAACAGGAAGCCAATAAAGAGAAGCCAAAACAGGAGAAATCTGCTCTCTCTTTCTAGTCCCTGTCAGGACTCTTACTGCAGCATTTTGGATTAACTGAAGGCTTTTCAGGGAGTTTTTAGGACATCCTGATAATAATGAATTACAGTCGTCCAGCCTGGAAGTAATAAATGCGTGAACTAGTTTTTCAGCGTCACTCTGAGACTTTTTTAGAGACTAATTTTAGAGATGTTGCGCAAATGGAAGAAAGCAGTCTTACATATTTGTTTAATATGTGCATTGAAGGACATGTCCTGGTCAAAAATGACTCCAAGGTTCCTCACAGTGTTACTGGAGGCCAAGGTAATGCCATCCAGAGTAAGAATTTGGTTAGATACCATATGTCTAACAAAGTAAGAGATGCTTTTCAGATCTTAGCTAACCCATGCATTCAATTTTTAAATAGCATTTGATTGAAGGAGTTTTAATTTAACACTTCAATTTAAAAACAAAAACAAACAAACAACTGAATTCAGTGATTTGCAAATCTTATGAATGCATGTGGGAAAATACCCTTAATTTGAATTTGTTGGCAGCAACAAATCTCAAAAAGGTTGGGACAGGGGCTATAAAAGGCTGGAGAAATAAAAAGACGGCTATAACATTTTACCACTCATATATTCCCAAAAGATTTGTCTTGAATAAATTTCTGTCCACAAAAAAAGGCAGAAAATCAATAGTGGATACTCATGATTTCCGGTGGAACTTACATGATTCTGTCATGGAAGTCACTGAATGGGCTGAGGAACACATCCAGAAATCTTTGTCTATAAAAACGGTTCATCATGCCATATGAGAACTTGAAGCAAGAGTGCAGCAGTCTTCTATGGGTCAAAACTAGAGTGAAAAAAGTGGAAAAGTTGTTATAAGAAGAGGTGGAGTGATTTTAAATTATAATACCGAAACTATTTGACCGAGGCCCGTGGATAGCCCTCCATTAAAAATCTTAACATAGACTTCATTTCAACAGTGTCTTTTTATGTTCCAGAACCCACAATTATCAGTGAGTAAATCTCATTCGGAGACACTCAGCTACATCACTTACATTGGATCAGCACTCTCCGTTGTCTTCACATTCATCAGCTTGATCATCTATATTTGTCTACAGTGAGTACATATGTTTTACTTGAATGTCCTTTTAACTTCTGCCATATTTTGATATTTTCTCTAGTATTACATTCTAAAGAGGTGATGTGTTGATAAAGAAATATATTATTGTTGGCTTAGTTCATAGAAAAAATTCTAAAGGTCAACCACTGACAGAAGTTATGTTGTGAAAGACTGGTTTATTGCATCAGTCAGACCAGTTTAAATGTACTGTGTCACATCTGGTGGGAAACAAACACTTGCACATAATCTTTCCTAAAGTGTGGCACCCCACAGTCGTCGGTCAAAAACTGTTCACACTTGACTGTTCCTCAGTCAAGTGTGAACAGTCCTGAAGCCCTCTGCATGTTTGCAGACAAAATTGGATTTTTCTTTCTGAAGCTGAAGTCTATGCAGTTACATATGCATATACTAACATTTTAGTATTAATACATGTTGGATTATTGAAAGCTGGCAGGTAGTCATTGCATGCATATAGGGCTGAATCACACGAGGAGTAAGCAGGATGAGCAAAATTTTAAATATCAAAACATATCAGAGGAACAGCTCAGGTTGAGCAGTTTGGAAACAAAGTTAAAGTGGGAAGTTTGAGATGGTCTGGGAATGTGCAGAGGAGAGATAGTAGCTATACAGGACTGAGGAGGAGGTTTTTGGATGTCACATGCAGTGTTGGTGGTACAGAGGAGGATGCTAGGGATAGGGTGAAAAATTAAAACAATTTCCCCTAAAGCACTGGTTCCCAAACTTTTTTTGCTAGGCCCCCTTTGTTTTATAAGATTCCCACTGTAACTTCACTGTATAATGAGCTAGCATCTCCAAAATTTCAGTAATTATAAGAAGTGTTCATGTGAGATAATGTTTGTCCGTTATTTGGACAGTGAGCCCAGTGCGTGCTCCCGACGCAGGGGAAACCTACCTTGGCACAAGGGCTGGGTATCATCAATGATTTCTAATCAATTGGATTCAGATTCGATTTGATTAAATTTTGCCCCAGACAATCAGAAATATTATAATTCTGATCATTTATCAGTACTGACACTTGTGAGACTTCATCAGAGGTGTGAGCATCACAGCAGACACCTTTGTGTCAAAGTAACTGAGGATAAAATACAGATGGGAAACTGTTTTGAAAATACACTGAGAGAGAGAGCTGTGCAGGAAGCGTGATTTTATCGTAGTGGACACAAAACAGTGAAAGTAAGAGGGACGTAATGATGATGTTTATCAAATGTGAAGTGTAATTTTGATCTTTTGCTGCCGTTTCAGTGAATTTAGGTCAGAGAGTGATAAAACCTGCAGCATCAGAAGCTGTGAGGTGTCAACTTTCAACACCGACAGCGTGCCCGTGTACGTGCCGTCGGGTGAGAAAGCCGACATCTCACAGATTCTGATGCGTCGGGTCTGCGCTTTGTGTTCACATCTTTGTGTGGAATCCTTTTTCCTGCCATCATTTACTATTTTAGCTGTTTGGTTGTTGATATAGTTTTGTGAGTTTTAACCCGAGATCCTGGCATTTCTGGCAAAATACATTTATATTTAATAATCGATTCAGGATTAAATAAATGATCGGAAAATCGAGTGTTGAAACCCACCCCTACTTGGCACCACTGTTGTACAGGTGAAGCCAATGGCAAGATATGCTTCATCACATTTTCTAGTCTTTGGCTTGGAAGTTGGTTCGGAAGCATATTTGGCGATGCTTCATCTTCTGCTTTGTGTTTGTGTGGGAGCTCCGTCAAAAAACCTGTCCATAGCAGTGTCCAAGGATTATTTTTTTATTCATACCCCACCCCCCTCCGCCAATGGCTTTGCACCCTCCACTTTGGCAACCACTGCCATAAAGGAAGTAGCTGGAAGAGGAAACAGAAAAAGGAGCACTGGATCCTCTGACACTTATCTCCTTGGATTAAAGGCAGTTAGGATGCAAAGATAATCATTATTTTACATAAAACCTATACATTAATAAAAAGGGGTTATAGTCTTCAAATAAATAAATATAGTAGCAAATTATGAAGAAATATCAATATATGGGTCATACTCTAAAATGCTACATTTATTTATTTAAATGTACTTCATTTATCTCTAATATTACTTTGAAAGGGTTTAGTTCTTTCTTCCTCCAGCTTCATCATCTTCTTCCCATTTTTGGCAGTCTTGGTTCCCGTACTCTTGGTTACATATAGAACAGGATACATTATCTGGCATATTTAGTCTGACAATAATTATGGGAAATCACAAGCTTCTCAGTTTCATCTGTGTGGAGTTACTATTGTTAGTGTTATCAAAATTGAGGGTTCAAAGCGAAAGGTTTAAAAAAAGGCCAAATTTCTTCCATTGTTAAAAAAAATTGTAATGCTGTTTCTCTCTTTAGTCGTCGGCGTCCTGAGAAGACAACTAATCTGCACATGCAGCTAGCAGGAGCAATGCTCTGCCTCCACCTCAGCTTCCTGCTGTCCTGTTTCTCGGCATGGCTGCTGAATGAGGACAGCCCAGTTTGTCTGGTTCTGGGTCTGATTTTACACTGGTCTCTGCTGGCCACCTTCAGCTGGACTGCTCTGGAGGGGTTCCATCTCTACCTTCTACTAAGCCGGGTTTTTAACATCACTTTCAGGAAATATCTTCTCAAACTCAGCTTAGTTGGATGGGGTGAGTAAAGTAAGGTTAAAACACAATTTCGTCAGATGCTGTCAAACAGGCCAAATGGAAATGGATAGTGTAGGTTTGTTGTTGTCGTTTGATACTACAAAGTTGAGAAAACATCATAAATTTGGTGATTAAAATCCAGGTAAATGGCTAAATGAGATTGGTTTGTCCATATGGTATGTATACAGTATTTTTTCCATTTTCTACAACTTTTTTTTTACTACAAATACTTCAGTGATTTGCTGAGAGTGTCCAATAATACTATATGAAATTGTAGCATGCGCACAAATGTTGAGTGATAAAAATGAGCATGGCAAAAAAAAAGTCCAGCAATCAGTGTCGTAATAAAGCCTCAAGGATGGATAATCTTGAAAGGCTGGTGAGTGGTCTAGATCCACACTCAACTTTTGTTTTTAATTATTTTTCATGTAGAGCAACTTCTTTTTCAATAGAAAGACTGCAGAGAAGTCATGTTTGCTAACATTTGCACTTCAAGCTGTAGCACATGCAATTTTATTTTTAATTTTATCTTTGTAAATGCATTTAATACTTCACTTCAAAATCATTCTATTTCTACTTCTTTAGGCTTCCCGACACTAGTCGCAGTGATTTGTGCGATTTCAGGTGTTTATGGTAAATACACCCTGCACATGCGGGACGCCAAACTCTCCAATACAACAGCACACATGTAAGAAAATATCATCAGTAGGATTTTTATGCATGCAGTGACCCATGAGATTTGATTTCTTAAGACAAAAAAAATCATACTTTGGTGTTAACATTTGTGACATTTATATGCTGCCTCCAAAATGTTTTATATTTATTTAATACATATTTGTTTTTCAACAATGAGCAGATGCTGGATGAACAGCGAGTTCCCGAAGAAGCACCTTATAACCAGTTTCATCACTACAGTGGCCTTTCCTTCCTTGGTGGTGCTGTTTAATGCCTGTGTTATGGGACTAGTTGTGTTTAAGCTCTGGGGGATAAGAAGGGGTAGTGGAGGCTTTGGAAGCAACACTGGCTGGAAAAAGACAAACAAAAACAAAGGCTGGAATTTATGGAAGGACTCTGTTAAAGTGCTGGGCCTCAGCCTTGTGCTGGGGTTACCTTGGGGGTTAACCAGCATCACATATGTTTCACTCCCTGGTATCTATGTATTCACAATATTCAACTCCTGTCAAGGTTAGTATGTGACTAATTCTCGTATAAAGTATGCACTGGATTTTGATCATTTGTGAGAAAAGTTGAATTTTTTCTCTCTTATCAGGTGTCTTCATGTTCCTGTGGTCTTTGGCTTTGACCAGGAAGCCTCAATCGAACAATAACTCATCAACAGACACCTGTCAGAAAAAGCTGACCACCAGTTTAAATAACAGCTAAGACAAGTGAATTATCCTGACTTACAAACCCAATTCCAAAAATGTTGACATGGTGTGTAAAAGGTAACTGATATCAGAATGCAAACAAATGAAAAAATTAAAACCTCATATTTTATTCACAGCAGAACATGGAAAATATATCTAGTTTTTAAATCTGATAAAAATGTACCATTCTAAGAAAACTCCCAGCTTGAATTAGACGCCAGGAGAACATCTGAAAAAAGTTTGGACAGGGCCATATTTGCCAGTGTGTAGGATCCTCTTTTCTTTTATTAGAGAGGAAGCTGCAGTCTCTATCAATGCAATATACAAGGTATAAATATGCAATAATTTACAGTATAAAGTGTCTTGAGGTGACTGTTCTTATGATTTGGCACTATATGAACAAAATTGAATTTAACTAAATTTTAGGATGCAGAGACCAGCTGCTGGATTGGCTGTGCCAAATGTTTTTAATTTGTGAAAGGTTCGGACTGGAGACTGGGCAGTTCCACACCTCCACTCTCCTATTCCTATTATGCTGTTGTAAAACGTGCCTCTGTCCATTCTAAATTAGCTTTGAGAGCAGCTGGCAGTCCTCTCCATCTATTATATTTTTATATTTAAACAACTTTTAAATATTTTTATATTATCTACGTCCCACTGTGAATAAAATATGGCTTTATGAGAATTGGAAACCGTTGCATTCACTTTTTAGTTGCATTTTACACAGCATTTTCTTACATTTTCCCAATGACATTCATATATGGTAATGAAGACTCATTTTATTTGTTGATGTTTTTTTTCTCTTCTTTCTTATTTTGGAATCAAATACAAATATGATTTTTGTTAGTATATTCAACAATTAACTTGTGAATCATTTAATTAAAAAAGCAGTTACTGTGAAGATCATCTATATTCTTTATACTGTATTATCGGTATAGGTCAGGTAATGTATCTGTCCTACAAACTTAACCTATATACTACAGAATGTTATTAGTTATTGTTACTGTTATTGGCTAGACATGGTAGATATTGATCTTCATAAAGCAGGTGACTTCACTGCAGACTAATCAGTTCAGTTATGTACTCTGTGGTATTTTAATATTTCTGCATTGTTTCATCAAGTATACACTCACTAAAATGCTTGTTATGTTAGCTGACTCACTGTAGGGGTGATTCAAATTGTAATAGAGAGACAGACAATAACTGCAGTAAATAACGGATAGGTTGTTTTTGACACTGCCCCCTGGTGACAGTAAACGCCTGCAATATGTTGACAAAGGTCTACATGACTGTCATCAATGTAGGGAATGCGAAAATCTATATAATCTATATTATTTTGTGTAACCATTGTTTTACTTTGGGCAGCTGAAGTCTATTTTGTGGACAAAATTGTTGCACTGTTAGGCTATATAAACAGGATTATGAAATTTCACTAGTAAAAGGTCTTTGTAAAACAGTTATTCCACCCGAAACAATTTTCAGGTTAGTGCAGCACCATCTTTGTGTGATAACAGATTTATTTTTAGGTTGATTTTATGATCAAATGTTATATTATGTATAATATTATGTATAATACAATTTTTGTAATAAAATAAGTACAGTTTAAAAAATTAAAAAATATATATCAACACTGATCATGTTTTATTATTATTTTATTAACTGATTAAACCATAAATTGGGATGTTGGACTATTTTTGATAACTATGTTTGAAAGCATTTTTAAGTTTGGCAAAACGTTTGAGAACCACTTGCGACTCTTTTGTCCGGAGACAAAACACTGTAGAACTTTGCAGCTCCATCATCACAAAAACAAAAAAAACAAAACAAAAAAACATTTATGTATTTGAAAAAACAAAACACAGCAATCACAATGACGTAATGTCTAAAAAAATAGCAGAAGTCCACAAAGTCAGCTTTTAATTGGACAACGTTAACAGGAAGTGCTTTTACTTTGAAGTTTTAAGAAGTAAAATGTTTAATGTTTTATTGAGATTGTGGATTACAGTGATACATTGGAAACTCGTGACAGCAGTTTAGTTAATTTAACTATATAATAATACGAGGAAACGTATCAAGTAAACTACATCAAAGAAATTATTATAGTTTTACGAGTTTCTTCACATTCGTAGTCACCGGAAATAAAAAAGGATTGCGCTCTCTCGTGTTTCCTTTCTTTCCAACTGCCAGACACACTAAAGAGAGACGGAGACAACATGGATCCAAATACTACGATTCTCCGAGTGAAAAGAAAAAGGGGAACCGACCCCGCAGATGCTTTGCTGCTGGCATGCAAACGTATCCGTCCCGAAACGTCCCAGAGCTCAGGCGAAACGGTACCTGAGCCCAACGAAGCCGAAGTGGAAAACTCTGTCTTCAAACTCGTGGCGACCGTAGCAACACAGGTGAGGGGCCCAATGCTATCGCCAGAGCAGCGGTCAGTGGAAGGGGTAGCTTTTGAAAAATAGTGGTGGTGGGGGGTGGTATTTATCACGATAGTTGAAACCACTCAGAAGAGCTGAGTGGGTGATAGCAAGCTGAATAAAGCTGCTGAGAGCGTCACTTACTGTCCGGAACAACGCGCCTTTGTGCTTATTGTTGTTAGCAATCATGCTAGCCCTAGCTACCCCACAAACTGTTGTTAGCTTGTTTTTTTTGGCGTAATTTGGGCCTTGAAAACGAAGTGACAATTAAAATCCAGGCTGTGGTATGACTAACGTTTGAAGTAAATTAAATATTTACATGCGCAATTCAATAGACGAAATAAGACCCATTACGTAAGCTAATTAGATTAGCTGTAAACACTGCTATATACAGTTGTAGCACTGCATTTGTTTGTGTAATGTGTACACCGACCACTATGGTTTTCTTTGTGGGATTCGGTAAAACGGACAGATGGCTAATGCATCTTTTTCCACTTCAGTACATTTTGAGAATGCTTCCTTTAGTGAGTGATGGGCGCAATGACTGAAAAATTGATATCACAATATTGATTCTGGTGAGCTTTTATATTCGGTTTTTTGTACTCAGTCTTGTGTCAGAAGTAAGCTGTCTTAAAGTTTTTAATGTCATTAGGAAGTGAAATGGGTATGAATAAAACCACAGCCAAAATGAGGAATACACCACTCCTAGGCTCTGATGAAAAAGTTAACTATTTGGGAGGCGGATAAGGAGTCTCTCCTTAACAGGCTTTTCTGTCTTTTCTGCATTTTTAGGTGCGTGTAATGTCTTTTTATTTTTTTAACAGTAGGTTTTTCCTGGTGATAACTATGCTTTGGGAGGTGACCAAGCAAATAACCATAATTGAGTCACATACAGTTAAGGCAAAGACTCTTTGCTACCTTACATATTTCTCTGGATTTTCCTTTTATTTCTTGCCATTTGATGAATGTTGATTGTCATTTTTGTGCTAGACCAAATTGTCTTTTGAGGGCACCAAACATTTCTATGCGTAGAGAAAATTCTGGCCATTGTGTTTTCAACATGTGAATCTTGCATCTTTGCACATGTCCTATTGCTACTATTGTCTATTGTTACAAATTGGTTGTTTCCCCGTTGTAGAAAATTGGATGTGGGGTTTTTAATTGTTGGATTTCGATAATATTTGCATTAAATTAGTGGAACCGCGAGTAAGATGAGTGTGCAGTTCCGGCAGCTTCTATGAGTTGGGAATTAAAAGGGAAATCCATATTTATGTTAAAGCCTCGTGGGTTGTTATCTTTGTCATCCCATCACCAGGAAGCTCCCGTTCAGACGCAGGTTCGACAGGCTTTGGCTCGGCCTCGCACGGCGCATGCACTGCGTCCCTCTGCTGCCAGCTCACAGCGGATACTTGGTGATTTACGCAGCACAAAGTGGAGTACTCGGAGAGAGGAACGCTACAGAATACTCTCAAGCCACCGTGCTGGTCTGTCAGCCCCAGCAGAGCAACAGACACCACAGATGGGTGCTTCTGAGTGTGTAGAGGAAACGGGGAAAGAGACAGACAAATGCTGGGGGCTGGGTGAAATCCAGGTGGTGGATCTGATCCATGAGGATGGAGAGGACCAGGATAAACCTTCAGGCAAGGTAAGTTGATAGTTGGAGATTCTGGGTTTTGTTTGCAGCAGTTGTCCTAGTGCTGTTTGGCAAGCGTACTCATGAACAGCCCAATCATCAGTTATTATACTCAATTTAAGGTCCTGATATGTTGCACCTTTTTCACTTAGTGGAGGCTAAATTACAGAAACAGTTAAAAAAATAAATACCATGCTGCCGTCAGACTGTTAAAAAACATAAGTGGTTGTCCTCATAGGGCTGCTTGATTGTATTTGGGATTATTTAACACAGATTATCATTTTACCAGAATTTACCAGGCATTAAGCTTTTACTGAACACAATTGTGCAGTTTAACAAGTGCTTTTCAGAAGGCAGATGCTACAAATATCAATATAATTCAGTTGCTGAGAGTCATCCAGTCTTAGCTCAACCACATGGCTAGCACAGTCATCAACTGTTACTGACGCCATTATCATTGGTCGGTCTCACAGATCCAATCTTCTGATTTCTCATCGTGCCAGCACATTTCCTGTTCTGTTAAGTAAGGATTGTCCTGGTAATTCATTTACTATAGTCATTAGAAATTAGAGAAAAAAAAACATTAACTGGTCAAAAGTAAGAAATTGTTCAGCAAACAGGCAGAATTGTTAAACAAATAGTGCATGTTTATTTAAAAACCTTTTGGAAGTGCATTCTTCCCCAATCGAATCACATTGATCTCTGGTCTTGCAATGTTGGATTGGAAGTGTGGCTAGTGTTAGCAGGGCTAGCAGGAGCAGCAGCCATCTTTCCTTGGAGTTTAAAAACCATGCACGAACAACACTGCATTACTCCAGTTGAGCTTTCACTGCTGACAAATAGACAGGGAGGGAGAGAAAGACACACACACACACACACACACACACACACACACACACACACACACACACACACACACACACACTGCAGGCCTAGCTAGTTCTAGACCAGGGGTGTCAAACTCAAATACACAGTGGGCCAAAATTCAAAACTGGAACAAAGTCGCAGGCTAACGTTAATATTTATTGAAACATATTTATTCCTCCAGATATAAGAATGAATCTTTTCTTATGGACTCAAACACGTTTTGCTGAAAAACTGAATATGGAACAAGCAAAACTTAATACTAAACAATATATATATTAGCTGTATAATACCAGTAGGCCAGCTCTAATAGTAATTTGGTATGGCTTCGCGGGCCAGAGTTTGACACCTATGTTCTAGACTGTGACATAACATCTCAGAACAGTTAAATAGTGTTGCACGTGTATAATTAGCTTAACTATACCAACCAGCCAGGTCAGCTGTGTTAAGGTGTCTGATCGAAGAGTCACGTTCATTTGGCTTTTTAAGAAGCGTTCGGGCTCGACCGTTTCAGTCACAATTTCAGTCGTGTGCTTCAGCTGTAGGAAAGATCACTTACTTTAGTGAGAATGTCTGGAGTTACTGCAGCCACTGGTATTACACTGCCTACCAGCAAACACATGAAGCTCACAACTTGCCTCTTCCTAACAGCATGTGTTTTGATAGTTACCGGTAAACAGCTGTGAGATTTATTTATTTATTTATTTTTTCAGTATTGATGTAAATGTCATTTAATTTGCCATTAGGCCCAACTAGACTGACTATCAGCTCATTAATTTGTTCCATTTCTAATCACTTGCTTTATTTTTCTAAAGATACTGTCCTCAGAACCAGATGAGATTCTCTGTAACAACACCAAGATGCTGCGGGAGCGTCTGAGCATATCTGGAGATAGACTGGGGGAAGAGCACCGAGAGCAGGACGATGGCTACGTCTATGATCTTTACTACCAGGAAACGGTCACCCCAGGGTGGATCCAGGACATCCTGTCTGTCAGAGCCTATGCTGATGAGGGAGAACTGGTGTGTGTGGATGGATGGACGGACAGATGAATGAGTGCTGAAATTGGAGTGAGTGAATGGGTGGAGTGGTCCAAATTTTACAGTGGGGCAAAAAAGTATTTAGTCAGCCACCGATTGTGCAAGTTCCCCCACCTAAAATGATGACAGAGGTCAGTAATTTGCACCAGAGGTACACTTCAACTGTGAGAGACAGAATGTGAAAAAAAATCCATGAATCCACATGGTAGGATTTGTAAAGAATTTATTCGTAAATCAGGGTGGAAAATAAGTATTTGGTCAATAACAAAAATACAACTCAATACTTTGTAACATAACCTTTGTTGGCAATAACAGAGGTCAAACGTTTACTATAGGTCTTTACCAGGTTTGCACACACAGTAGCTGGTATTTTGGCCCATTCCTCCATGCAGATCTTCTCGAGAGCAGTGATGTTTTGGGGCTGTCGCCGAGCAACACGGACTTTCAACTCCCGCCACAGATTTTCTATGGGGTTGAGGTCTGGAGACTGGCTAGGCCACTCCAGGACTTTCAAATGCTTCTTACGGAGCCACTCCTTTGTTGCCCGGGCGGTGTGTTTTGGATCATTGTCATGTTGGAAGACCCAGCCTCGTTTCATCTTCAAAGTTCTCACTGATGGAAGGAGGTTTTGGCTCAAAATCTCACGATACATGGCCCCATTCATTCTGTCCTTAACACGGATCAGTCGTCCTGTCCCCTTGGCAGAAAAACAGCCCCATAGCATGATGTTTCCACCCCCATGCTTCACAGTAGGTATGGTGTTCTTGGGATGCAACTCAGTATTCTTCTTCCTCCAAACACGACGAGTTGAGTTTATACCAAAAAGTTCTACTTTGGTTTCATCTGACCACATGACATTCTCCCAATCCTCTGCTGTATCATCCATGTGCTCTCTGGCAAACTTCAGACGGGCCTGGACATGCACTGGCTTCAGCAGCAGAACACGTCTGGCACTGCGGGATTTGATTCCCTGCCGTTGTAGTGTGTT